TCTATAACAATTGTCCTGCCTCTTGCTGCTTACTGAAAGATATATCAAAGGAAATGGATTTTTTTTTAACCATTCTCTATTGAAATTAAAAGTTTTAGTAGATTTAATTAAATCATTGTACCACTGTTCTATGCATTGTGCTATTTATTGACAGATTTAAAAAAAGAAAGGTTTTGTCTAAATTATCATTTAAAACATTGATTTTTCTTTATTGGTAACCTCTGAGTTTTTTTTTTTTTTTTTTTTCATAAATTCCTCAATTACTACCAAAGCTTTGTTTCTCTATACCTTTCATTTCTTGTATATCCTTTATAAGATATTTTTACAGCAATTATATAAATGAAGTGTTTCTGTACTGGCATTCAACTAGCCTTTTGTTTTACCTTTTGTCTTTAACATTTATTTCATACATTTAAGCAGTTTCTCATTAATTTCCCCTTCATGCACACTGTCAACAATATATCGTATTTCTATTCTGAGAAGCTGCTCAATAAATGGAGTAGGATACTTATCTTCCCACGTCACATCACTCTCAATGTTTTAAATTTGTACCTGTGAAACAATTCCATCAGATAATGCTCTACTTTGTTTTGCTTCCTCTGAATCTTTCAGAAAACATACAAGCAATACAGTTGATTCACAATGAGGAATCAAACATGACACTGTATTTGTCTCAATTAAAAAGGTACCTTTTAAATGAATTCTATTTCTCATAGATATTCCTGTGATAATTTTGGTAACACATTTAAACCCCTTTTAACATTCTTATTGATTTTTTTTTTTTTTTTTTTTTTGCTGGTGATCAAAACATTTATTGAAACTAGAGAGGATTCTAAAAGTTAGATTTTCAAAATTTGATATAGGCTAGTGTTTTAGAAGCACTGAAGGATATATGAAGTTCTTATTGATATAAATATAATTATCTTGCCTTTTTTTTCCCCTCTCCGTTGTTTGTTTTCGAATATCATTATTGGTTGCTCATTAAATTTTATTTCAATTGCAGGCAGTAGAATTTGTTGATTTATTGATACACAAATGGCTTTAGACACCTGACAAAATTGATCTTTGTTTTTTCTAAACATTTTGTTAGTAGGAATACAAAATATTTTACAGAAAAATCTCTACTGTTCGGTTTTGTTTATATTGGTTACTAAATTGATTCATTTTAACTGACCTGTTAAGCATTATTTTAGAAGTAGGAAAAGTAAATATGTTTATCAATGAATGTTAAGACCATTCATTTGTATGAAAAGATTACACCAGCTTTTTGAGCATTGACATCAAGTCTTCTGGTGTTCAGAGGTATATAATCTTTGAATTAACATCCTTTTTGTGATTTCTCATATGAATATATTCTTGACATGAAAAATTTAAAAATTGTAATAATAAAGTTTATTTTAATTATTGTTGTAAAATAAAAATAAAGTGGGAAATTTTAAGTAATTTTTCTAAACTATTTGAAGATAATTTTTTTTATCAATGTTCCTGTAATTACCATTAATTTTGTATCTCAAAGGAGTCTTGAGATACCTTTTTATCTAATGTATTATGAAAATTGCATTTGAAAAACACAAGTTGTTTTTGATTTATCTATATTATTTCATTTTTTAAGACTTGTTTTTATCTTATTTATATTTTAGACAAATTCTATCTACTGGGTGTCAGCATCAAAACAACCTTATCAGAATGTGATCTTGTTTCTGGTGTTACTTTAACAGAATTTAAAATTTTATAAGCATTTCAACAAATTTCATAAGTATATGTAACATGCCATTCAAAGGATAGAAATATATATTCATGTTGAAAGGGAGAGAGAGAAAAAAAGCATCTTAAAAATGTTAACAATTATGTTAAAACCCATCTTGTGCACATGTTCTTATGTTTTTTAAATACTAATACTAGATTTTACTTGATCATTTTTTTCTTCCTTTCCTCTTCTATTTTTCCTCTCCACACAAAGTTCAGTTTGCAGTTGTTCTTTCAGCAAATAGAATTAATCTATACATCCACTAGTTTATAGTATGTATGGAAATTAAAGCAAATATGGGCAGAAATACCTACAGTGTTGTCATAAAAATTATTTCCGAGAAGCAAAAAAATTGTACAGACCTCCTTTTCTTATAATTTGTAGTTTCTGAATTTTTTTTTTGAGATTACGAGCTCTCCACTTGTACCATAGAGGCATTTATTGTAAATAATAAAAAAAAATCTGCTGGCAGAATCAAAATCATTATTTTCTGTGATTAATGCATTTAGCTGAAAAGTTTAGTATTATCTCCGTTTTATCTGCATTTTAGCTGTTAATTGGTGACTAGTTTATTTTAACAAAAATGATGCAGCACAAAGCTTTTGTTATAAATAATGAAATCAAGTTTTACCACATATTTGTTTTCTATGTACAGTTAGCAGAACATCTAATTCCACTGGAGACCTTGTCTTATTTACTAAGCGAGTCATTTTCGCACAGCCAGGAAACTTGTCTCCTTTTAAATGTGTCATTTCCTTATGACTGTTAAATTCATCACAGTTCCTAGCTTTCATGCAACATTTAACCCTATCTAATGGCCATTATGATAATCCAGTTGTACTTTGCTATTTGATTATTCTTTAGATCATGCACCTCATTAGAATTCCAATATTCCACGAGTGTTGTTAATATAGCTTCTGAGTAAGTTACCTTTGTTGGGATGCACAATGCCTTTAATAAATGACATTGCATTTGACCAAATTCTTTGTTCTACACAATATGAGCAATCTATGTAGAGTTTGTGGCATTTGAAGAGTAATATCACTTACTCTTTGAAGGATTATGGATAATAGACTTCTAAATCTTATGTAATAAATAGAACTTAGATGTCTTTAATTATAAATGTCCTTTGTTCTAATTTATATTCTCTTAACTGTTTGAGATATATATATATATAAGCAAAGTTTTGATATGAAACTAATGTCAACATATCTGCTTTCAAAACTATGTTCTTTGGTAATTGTGTCTGATTTGAATTTAGCAGTGTTGATATAGAACAGTGTTTATTGTCATAGTATTTCTTATTTATAATTGAAGTAGAAAAATATGTAGCAGATCAATCCTCCTTATTTCACAAATATATATTCTTCAGGTCTTATTTGATGCATTTCTAAATTTTTTTTAACCTTGTAAAAGTTATGCATTAACTAATTTAATAAAAGAAAAATCATGGATTTAGTAATAATGGATTTTCATTTTTTAATTTTTGTTCATGCTAAAGTTGTTGGATGTGGCAACTAGTGTATTTCAAATGGCAAAAATCTTATAAATTTTAAATATTATAAAGAATGACATTTAAAAAATATTTATTTTAAATGTATATAATGAGATACTTTTACGAAATATGTTAGACCTTTGTATTGTTGGTTTAATTATGGATATGGCCATTTCAGGTTTTTTTTTTGTTTTAACTTGAATCACTTGTAAGTTGTAGATAATTTATCTTTTAAAAATATTTTCAGTATTTCTAGCTGATGCTCTTTATTTTTTATTTATTTTATTTTTGTCTTATACAAATACCAGCCAGTATTACTTTTTTGGTTTGCACATTTATTAAAAAAATTTACAAAATGGGCAATCTTCTTTTTGGTAATAAAATCATTGTATCATTTTTGAACTTTGTATTCTTAAAAAGTACACTTTACCACTGCAAATTGAAATAACCCTTATATTGTATATTTGATATTGTTACTAAGTGCATTATTGTCCTGTCAGTCAGTTATGTGCCATGCATGATGCACACTTACACGATCATGTATCTTTTGATACATGACTGATAAGGAAGATTTTTCCTGCAGTAGGTTACCATTTCTTTTTGCAAGCTATAGAAGCCAGTCTGTCCCACTATTTACCCATATCTGGGGGAAGAAGAGGATGATTCATATCTTTCCTAAGGGTATTAGCACATAAGTGAATGTAATGGATTTGAATTCAAACTTGGCTCTCTGATTCCTCAATCCGAGCCACTATCTATTACTCCACTGTTGTACTGTTTTTATTTAATGCTGTCACTCTAAATAATGTTGCCCCCCCCTCCCATGTCATTCACTTTTTTATTTTATGCTACTTCTAATTTCACTTCCTAGTAATTTGATTAACTGATTATAAATAGTTCATTTGTGATCATTTTTCTTATTAAAATGATACATTCATCATATGGTAGGCTTTTATATTTCTTTTTCTTTGATACGAAGTAATCTTGGTTGCAACTCGCAGCTTTCTGAATATTAAAATCAGATTTAATTAGTATTTACATCCTGTTCTATATTAATTTTGAAATATTTTCTCACTGAAGCTGTTTTAAATCTGCCTTTTAAGCTGATTTTGACAGTGTCGAGTCATTACTTAGAATTATTTTTTTTTTTCTTTTCTTTTACATATAAATAAGTACATGAACATTTATGGATTAAATGTTAAGTGGGGTTTTGGGAATGAGTTCACTGATTTACAGGTGATACCCAGGATTTATACTCTTTCTGTGTAAAGTTATAAAACATGCTTTGGAATTTGATTTGTTTGCATGTTGATGTTTGTCAAAAAGCTAATGGATGACCTTTTACTATATTCCACTTTAGTGTTACCTTAGTAAAATATAAGCAAACAATTTTACCCTCATTCATTGCATGCTATTTTGTTCCAATTTAATTTTTTCATCACTCAATATATTTCCAACAAACATAGAATGTCTATTATTAGCTTGTTATTCAATCAATTTAAGTGGAATTGCCAGTTATTTTCAAATAGTGACTGGATTTTTCTTTTTAAATGATCATTTTGTATACAATTATTTCTGTAATAGTGTCAGTATATTCTCAGGGAAAATCATAGAAAGTTTTTAATAAAATGACTAAATTGCATTTTCTTTCTCTTAGTTTTGTAGTTGGTAGTTGTAGAACATTTCTGCTAATCTTGAAAATATCATCGATTGCTAGTTTAATATTTTGATTGATATTTTTCTTTTTTTTTCTTGCAGAAACATGAATTCACAGCCACAGAAAGAACCTGATCCAGATGCGATTAAAATGTTTGTTGGACAAATACCTCGCTCAATGGATGAAAATGAACTTAGGAAAATGTTTGAGGAATTTGGTCCAGTTTTTCAACTGAATGTTTTACGGGATAAAATGACAGGACAGAGCAAAGGTGAGCAATTTTTTTAGTGTAATAGTAGACCTAATTTATTGTATATGGCAAGTAACATGAAATATTTATTAAGCTGAATAATTTACTACTATTTTATAATAATAATAAATCTTTGATCTTATTAGCTTTTAATCTACTCTTTGGTTCATGTCAACACTAAAACTCATCAATATTTGAAGTTTTCAAGTATGCATTAAAATGAAAAAAGGCTTGAGATTTAATATTTTTAATGTGTACTTCATTTCCTTCCTTCTTGAACAGACCAAATAATGCAAAAAATTGCTGGTAGAAGATAGTTTTAAGAGCTTGTAAACTAATTTAAGCCAGTTTCATTAAATATTTACTAAATTATTAACTATGATTAGTCTCTTAACATAAAACCTTTTCTTAATTAAAAAAAAAGATTAGTTTATATCTTTCTAAATAGTACAATAGTGTTTTGATGGAAGCATTGTCAGTATTTATTTTTGACTATTGTTGTTTTTTATTGGATCATTCTGATCATCACTCTATAGCAGAGTGTTTCTTAACTTTTTTTAAGCAATATCACAACTTGGAGCAAATTAAAATATCATGGCGTACTTAGCAAAATTCTTAAATGTTATGAAATAAACAACTTGTCAATTCAGTACAGGGCATGTTTCCCTGTCACCTGTGCCCAAGACCTTGTTGTTCGCAGATTGGACTGCTATCTCATTTGATAGCCTACAGAAGACGGATGGAGATGGAATGACAGTGTTGTCATCAGCAATGACAGAGAGAGAAAAAGAGAGATATCAAATAAGCCATAAATTAAAAAAAAAATACACCCTATGAACTATTTGTGCAGAGAAGCCTAATTCACATAAATAAGTAGTAGAAAATTGCAGTAAAACTGATAAAGCCTTTTTAGTTAATTTGAGATATTTCTTTTGTATTGAAATTCAAAATGTATCAATAGGTACCGTTGAATGTTTTATTTTGAGGCCTCGATTACTAGAAATGGTGTCCAATTCTTCTTCTTTACATAACTGAAGTCTAATATTAGAAAGAATATTTATGAAGGGATTTCAGATCCAATCATATTTTTGTGGCACATTTAAGAGAATCATGCAGCTCACTCATGTGCCAAGGCTTGGCAGTTGAGAATCACTGCTTTACAGCCATTAAGTAATCAGGATCCTGAGAGTTGATAAAATGTAAACAAAATAAAAAAAAAATTAATAATGACTACTTTTATGTAAGAAATTCAGAGACTATTAAATTTAATACTACCAATGTAAATAAACAAGATAGTATATAGTAATCAGAACTAAGTAATTTGGTGCTTGCTGGTCAAACATTTCTGTTCATTACCAGTAATAGTACAGTTTTGTAAAGTTAGGCTCCCATGGATAGTGGATTTGAGTTTACATCTTACCAGACGCCTATTCACTGATGGCATTTTTCGTAATTTAACCTCATTATTAAATATAGTACAATTTTTTACTGAAGCTACCAGGCAGCCTTAGAGATCAATGAAGATTAAGTACCTCCAATAATTCACTAAAAATCAGTATAGCATAATGATAAAAGCCCCAAACTTAATAAAAACAAAGTTTTATTGTCTAATTGTTTGTTATTATTAAGAGGAAAGAACAAAGTATTTTTTAATTATTTTAAAAAAAAATTTCCCTTCTTTCTAACACATTCTAAACTTGGGTCAAAAATCTTTTTTTTTTTTTTTTTTTTTTTTTTTTTTTTTTTTGCTAACTTTGTATTACTTGTAGTAATGGACATTTTATTGTTGCAGTTTCCAGGAGAAAATCCATTAATTTGAAAATTCTTGCAAAAATCAAATAATTGTCTAATTTTAATGAAACTTTCAGGACTTATTCAAAAATGAATGAGTTTATTTTTGAAATTTTTATTTTTTAGAAATCTTTGTAAAAAGTATTTTTTTTTTTTTTTTTTTTTTGACTTTGGAGGTTGTCTTTTAGTATGAAAAAAAAAATCAATAAAAAAAGAAATGGTATTTAAAAAAAAAAAAAAAAAAAAGAAAACGTACTTGCAAATATGTATACTTATCTATATTTTTTCATTTTTCTTTTAATCATTTCACTCCAAGCAAATCAATAATGCCACAAAGGTGCAAGAAACTATTGAGAGTGAAAGGGTATGAGAAAACTTGAGAAGGAACTGTAATCCCAATCCTAAACAGAAAACAAGGGATAAACCTCTACTCCTCTTCAAAAGATTGGGGAGGAGTGTGAACCAGACAATATCTACTTCTACTAAGGAAAAATAAAAAATTAAAAACAAATTAAATAGTAAATAAAATTTCAGAGTTTAAATGGAGACATCTGAAGTAGACTTTAGAAGGAACTGGAAACTCAGTCCTCAACAGGAAACAAGGTATAAACCTCTACTCCTATTTAAAAGACATGGGAGGAGTGTGAACTGGGTAATAGGCAAACATATTAACTCCTATACAATAAATTCTATTATTAAATCCTTAAGCTGTCCAGATTATTACTATCTGTGTATGTTTTTATCATTAGTATTAGAAGTCATACTCTTGTAAATCTGGTATTGGGGATGGGAGAAGGTATGCCTTACCATAAGCAATTATTTAAAAACATTCTAATTTAAATAGTCTTACTGCATTTGTTTATTATTTATAAAAATTGTATTTTATCTATGAAGAATTATAATGTACTTATATACAAAGTCAAATACTTTTATTCTAATTATTAAAAAAGTTAACTGACAGTTATATCATGTAAATAATAATGTATTTTTATCAGAATTAAATGGATTAACTGCCTTCACTTATCATGAATGCCTTTAATGATGAGATTAGAGTTAAGAAAATTATATTGTAATTGTTGTTCTGTGTTTTTTATCAGAAATACTTGTCAAGTTAGGAGCTTAATGAAAATGAATAGATACATGTAAAAAAACATCGACTGAACATTGAGATTTTTTGAATTAAAAATGTTTCAAGTATTTTGCTGTACATTATTGTAATTCTCAGTACATTTTTGATAAAATTAATTTATTATCTTGATTTTTGCAATTGTTAATGAATTTATGACTGAAAGAATGCTGACATTTTTTTTTGTTTGGCCCAAAATATGATCAAATATCAGAATTTATTTTTACAGTCTTCTCAATAAGGCAGATGGTGCATAGACCCCGTCTGCCTGATGATACATAGACCCCCCCTCTATCTGATGCATACAATCCTCACCACCTACACACCCGCAGTGATGTGAGATGAGACTTTTCAATTGTTATTCTTTGAAAATAGTTTTCTGTTTATCATCACCTATCTAAGAAATGTTATTAGGAGTAAGTTAACTGCTGAAAGAAACATGCTCTTGAAGCTATTACAATTTTTTTTTTTTTTTTTTTTTTTTTTTTTTTTTTTTTTTAAATAACTAAGTTATAAGGATTGTAGCTGTGGAGTAGTTAATATAGACTTGTTTGTCTTTGGTAAGAGGCATATTTAAAATATATAAATTAAAGAAAAATTTGAAAAAATTCTTAGAACTCTTGAAACTTCAGAAAATACTTAGTTCCTAAAATGTTGTCAGTATTTCTTACCCCAATAAACGGAATTGATATTTCCAGCTTTTATTCTCAGGTTGTTATTCTCATTGGATTAGTGATAATTATAAAATAGTTGGTCATCATCTATGAATGTCAAATTTGTTATTGACTACTATTGATAATATTCATTCATTTGTGTTAGTAGGCTGAGGAAACTGTGTCTGAAAAAAAGAAAAAAAATGAAAGCATTCATGTAAATTATTATTGATGAAGGAGGATAGACACGGCAGCAAATTTTAAACCTAGACAGGCCTGTTTCTGAAATGAATATCAAAAGTTAGATTGTAAAAGAAGGAAATAAAAACCTGAAACAAGAGGTAAGGCTGCCAAAGATTGTATGGCTCTACTACATAGAGTTAAAGCTTAAATTACAGACTGTTTATTCTTCTGATACATCAAAATGTATGAAAGGCTGCTACTTGAAATCTGATCTTCTTGATATAAAGCAATCAAATTTAAAAAAAAAACAAAAAAACGTGATGGATCACCAGAAGAGTGCTCCAGGATAGATTTACTCTATTTCTGCCCAGCTTTCAAAGAATATTGTTAAAACCTTGACTATAAAACCTTTCTTATTGTGGACAATTATTGTTAGTCACCCACTTAAAAGATGATGCTAAAGTAACTTCTCTGCCTCCAAATTAGCTTGATGCAACCTATGAATAAAGAAGTTATTGCTAGATTCAATGCCTCTTATTTGTGGTGCATTTTTAAATAAAATTGATTAAATTTTACTCCATAAAAATTTTGACATAGTTATCATATGCTGAATGCTATTGAAAATTTAACAGAGGCTTGTTGATAAGTGGCAAAAAATACAATGAATCTTATCTGGTATGAAATCTATTCAGATTGCACTGCAAACTTTGTTTCCTTTAGGTTTTGAGGAAAATTCATTTGGATATTATTGGAATATCTAATAAATTGGATTTAATAAATATGTAGTGATGTTACTTAGATCCCAGAGTAAAGAATTATTTCAGAGCATGGAGGTTCTGCAATAGCACTTTGCTGAAAAAGATGATGATAAGAGCGTCAGACTAACTTATTTTCACACTATTTTCTTGGAATTGTCCTAAAAAATTTTTTTTCAAACTATCCTGAAATCAAAATGTTTCTATTAACTTTATCATAGTTGTTAATGACAACAAAAAACAGTAAAATATTTTGGAAATAAATAATATAATAAGCTAAATAATGAAAATTTTAAAAATGAATACATACATAAATAAACTAGTTAAATTTTAGTGCAATTTTTATAAAAAAATTATATCATGTTTTTTGGCCAAATCACTTTGAATAATTTTACATGTTATTAATTTTCATGTCCACAGTAACTTTTATTGTACTTTAAGAATTGTTCCTATGTATTCATTTTCTATGTAAAGAATATTAGTTCCATTTCGCCTATTAACTGTATAAAAAAAAAAAAAAAGAAACTTTACAGTTTTTATCAGATTTTCATTTACAATTACCTGTCTTGTATTGTAAGATTTTCATGCCCATTTATCATTTTTTAAATTCTCCCTTGTATATTCAATTTAGTTTATGATTTACAGTATACCTATAACTGTTATTAGTAGTTTATTTGAGTTATTTAACCAAAAATTGAAAGGAAAAAATTTATTGCTTTATTTATTAAAGTGAAATTAGTTCTTGCAATGAACTCCCAATTTTATTTTTACATTTAAATCCAAATATTTAAATTTAAGTACTGCAACCTTCATTTGTGTTTCATAGTTTAAAAACAAGCACTTAAGTTTTGTTTTTCTTTGGGTGTGTGCATGCACACTGGTTTCATTTATTAAAAAAACAGTACTATTGATGAGAAGAAAGATTTAAAAAAAGTATTTTTTTAATTTTTAAGAAATTAGCTTTTAGAATATATAATAGAATTTTAATTCAACATTTTGTATTGTTCCAGCATCATGCCATAAAACCTAACCAGTTGTCCAAAACTAATGTTCCATTTTCCTCGGGACAGCAGCATTAATTTTGAGCTTTGGTAAGAATGCAGAACTACCAAAAATTTGTGTGAATTGTTTTAGTTTTTAGATAAAGCTTTGGGAACTGTCACTGAAAAAAGATTCTCAAGGGGAGACAAGTCCAGAGCAGATAAGAGAATAATGAGTGCATACAACTGTTAGAAAGAATTCAAAATAACAGGACGGGTGGGGAGGAAAAAAAAAAAAAAAAACTTGGACATTTTTTTTTTTTTTTTTTTTGTACCTGGAACAGTTACATCACCAATCAGTCTACCCAAACTTTTAAGTAGCTCTGGAATTTCTTGCAATACTCTTAGAATCACCTTTTATAACAATGGTTTAAAAAAAAAAAAAACAAAAGATGAAGTTTTTAATGTTTTTATGATTAGGAATGTATCATAGGAAATGACTTGATTATATAAACAATTGTTTACCTATTTTCTCTAATAAATACAAAGAGAAATAAAAATAGGTAATATAAATAATTTGGTGCAAACATGTGGGTGGGGGAGTAGCAGAAGTAAGGAAAGGTAAAAGACTGGTGCTCAGCTCATTTTGACATTGTTGGGATCTTTTTGTTATTCACAGACATTTGTCTTTGTAGCTGCAATAATAATTGTAAATGCTTGATAATGTCTTAATAAATTGTCTCAATTGCTTGCTGACATTAGAAGTCATATTAGCTGACAGTTTACTCTGATGAGACTAAAAAAAGAGACTTTAAGTCTTTAAGTAGCAATAATAAGGAAACAATTTTGTACTGGACATTTTCTGATTATAAGTATTTTCTTTTGGAAGGATGCTCAAGATATAAAATCTTTAAATTGTCATTATTTTACAATTTAAAATATTCACTCTTACCCTTTTAAACAGTTTTAACCTTTTTAGAATTTCTCTTTAAACTGGTATGATTGTTGAACTTTTTAGTTCTATGAATTAGTTTGCAAATCAACAATGTCCCGATAGATTCAAATATCTGGCTTTATCATTATTCTTAATGTAACTGTAAAACCATCACAGAATAATTTCAATATAAAATTGTTTTTTTTTTTTTTTTTTTTTTTTAAATTTCCCCATAAAAATGCATTTAGGTAACATTTTTTTTGTAAATGGGATTCTAAAATATGTATAATATGTTATGTATAATTTCAATGCTTGAAAAATACAATGTAAGAGTAATCAGAATTAAATCAAAGCCAATTTCCTGATTACTTTCTTTTTTTCTGAAAGAAGTAAAACTATGAATGTAAAGCATGTAGTACTCATCTTCTGCAGTTCTTGATGACACTAAAAAAGATGAATGTGTACATTATTCTTATTAAAGAAATGAATACTCTTAATTTTGTCTTTAAATATCTTCAGGCTTTCTTTTCAGTAGATTTTGTTTCATTGACATAACTTTGTCACTAATTCCATTTAAGAGGAATTGATTTTTGTATCCATTATTTTTGTAGAAAGTTTTTAATTGATTAAATAAAATAACTTTAAATTTGAGCTTGGAGAGGCTGGATTTTTTTATTTTTTTTTTAATGTTACCTTTTTGTACCTGTTTAAAATCTGAATCATCTGTTTTGAAATTTAATAAAGTTATGATATATTTATGAGGATATGCTGCAAAATTTTCAGCAAGACCAAGAAGGGATTCAGAAAAAAAAATATTCTGATTTTTGGCCCTTTGGCCAAATTTTGGAAAGTGGATTTGCAGAAATTTAATGATACATTTAAGAACTTATTTGATTATTTTATTTAAATATATATATATACATATACATACATATATATATATATATATATATATATATATATATATATATATATATATAAATAAATTCTATAATTCAGAAATTTTTATCTAGCACAAAGTCTATACATTTCATGCTGTTGCCTTTTCTCATATTTCTGAGGATAAAAGATAATGCTTTTTTTTTCTTTATATGTTGATTGAAGTCACAAAAGGATAGTCATTTTTGTGATAAAACTATATCATATCTTGTCCTGCATGACCAATATAAAGAGTTTTAATCAAACCCCAGTTTCTTCATCTATAAAAATGAAGATATACATATAGAATGCAGACATGTTTATAAAATTACTGCACAACCAATATTCACTAGTTAAGATCTTTGTCTTGTTATTCATTAACCATTTGTAATATTGCAATTTTTCTCATTTTTTTTTTCCAGGATGTTGTTTTGTTACATTTTACACCAGGAAATCTGCTCTAGATGCTCAGAATGCTCTTCACAATATCAAAACATTACCACAAGTAAGTTACTCTTATCATTCACTAGCAGTAGAGCCCGGCGTTGCCTGGGGATGTAACAGTAAGAGATAGATCAAGTATCGACCATCATAAAGACTGAAAAATAAAATTGACAAAGATTATTGTTTGAGGTTGACGGACAGGCATGTCTTAATTAGTTTTTTTTTTTTTTACGAATTGGTCAAACTCAAACAAAAACATTGTTTTCAATCGTTATGGGTCTGCTGATTGAATAGAATTTTATTATAAACAATTGTCTTGTAAATGGAATTTTTAAAGCATTCTGAATGTAAAAATAAAAAAAAAAGTGTGCAAGACAATAAGAAACACTACCTGCCCAAAAAAAGTGAAGTTTTGTTGAAATCGGTTGAAAAATGTAGGAAATCCGATCCCATATATAAATGAACACACATGCACACAACCTGGGTTTTATAATAAGTATAACTCAATAAGAGGTGTACCCCTTTCATTCTCGCGATGACTCTTAATTGTGTTTTCAAATTGATTTCATGCAAAAACAATTGTTTTTCCAATTTTTGGCACTGTCAGAACCACCGCAAGGTAATTTTATGTAGTCCTGTGAAGTTTTGTTGAAATCGGTTGAAAAATGTAGGAAATCCGATCCAATATATAAACATACACACACACACACACACACACAACCTGGGTTTTATAATAAGAATGATGTCCTTACTATTTTCTCAGTCCCATCATAAGATATATCCCTGTTTAGACATATGACATCAGCTGGGATTTAAGTATTTTTGGTTTATTGGTAAATATGTTAAGTCAGTACTAATTGCAGTGTTGCTCATGAGGAAGCAGAATTTTCCACGATTAAAATGATAGTTTTCATTGATTTATATTTTTCTTATTGAAGTTACAGTAGAATAGGTTTCAAGTATTTCTTTTTTTTTTTCTTAAAGATCAAAACTCAGTTTTCAGGGTGAAAAATTATTTATTGAAAATTTTGTTTTTCTTTCTTAAAAAACTACTAAGAATGTATTTTGACTTGGAGTTGTGTTATAAACATTTGTTTCCATTTAAAATATTGAAAACAAGTTTTTGTTTGTCTTGAAAGTTTAAGATCATCATTTGCCAATTTTTTTTTTTTTTTTTTTTTCCTTTTCACAAATATACACTTAAAAATGATTTTTCTAAGGTTTAAATTTGATATATTGTTATTTAAAAATTTATTTCTATAACTGAGGCAAACAGGTATAATTAAAGAAAATATTCAACATGCTGATGGTCTCTTTGTGTGTCTGAAATATTACCTGTCCTAAACTGGTTTGGACTTTTATGCAGAATTCAACTCGTATCTCGTATAATACCTTTATTTTCAAAAGTGTCTAGTCTTTCACAAAATATCTTAGTCATGGTGAATGGTTACCGTATATACTTGTGTATAAGTTGACTTAATGTATAGTGCAATCTTTGAATTTTTGTATAAATTTTAAACTTTCCTGAAAAAAAATTACCTGCACCCAGTCACGTAAAATGCATTCTTCAAAAAATTACCTGTGTATAGGGTTACTCCCTATTTTTTTGGCATAGAAAAATGATCATAAAAACTCATACTATATTAAAGTATCTACAATATTTAAATTTATAATAATCTATTAAATGATAACAAATGGAAATAAATTAAGTATATTTGTACATATGATATATTGATGCGGAAGCCTGAAAAGTTCTTAGCAACACCAAGAAGGGATTCACAAAAACAAAAATCAATATTTTGATTTATTGCCCTTTGGCCAGATAACTTGTCAATACCCTTTGTAATACACATACAGATATATTTTTTGTTAGTACTAGACTCATTTAAGAAGTTTTCTATTACAATCAGATGTAATTGTTTTTTCAGATGTTTTCTTTTTTCAACTAAGATCATCTTTTACTTATATGACTTACTTATTTTCAATAATAGTGAATAGCAATGTTCTCTCAGATCATCAGTGACATTTTGTTAATCTTTATCTTGTTTTCTTGAAATTGTTTTGTATAAATCCTGCTTTTTGGATCTAATAAACAGAGTAACAATATTTATTTTTTATTTCCACTCTTTTTTTTTTTTTTTTTTTTTTTGCATGTGTTTACAGTTTGATGGCTGTTTTACACCTGCTTTCACTTCACCTAATAAATCTAAATTCTGGCTTCTAAACTGTAGGAAATATGAACTTAATTGTACTGGCTTCATTTACAGATAGTAATTTTTTCTTCTTATTTATTATATAATTTTGCTTTAGCTTACTTTGAGATGCTACAGACGTAATAATTCTGACATGTAATAAATATGTCGCTTCTCTATGGTGATGTCTTCCTGTTCTCATCAAAGAGAAAAAAAATGTTCTTTCATTGATATTGTCATCTTCTGTGCTCAAGTCAAGCAGATCCTGCCAACTTGATTATTTGCAAATGTGATTGACATCAACTATGATTGGAGCTACCCATCTGTGCTTGGTTTATCTAAGAACCGTCACTGCTGGCATTTATCTTTGTTTAATGGTCTTGAAAGCCATATGTGTACCGCCACCAGCATCTCCTCCATTTATGGTGAAGAAAAAGTTATGTTGTTATTTAAATTAGGTGCCGCAAATAAGAAATGCCTTTTTGCTTTGCAATGTAGTCTGTTTGGTTTTCTTTCCACTGGATGCTTTTAAAAGTTGTTTTTTTTTTTTTATTATTATTTAATTCTCTACAAACATGAAAAGGTCTATTTAATATATGGCATACTTATATTTACAAGAAACCAATAGATACTGATTTAGAATATATTTACCATTTGCAGGTTCATAAGAGGTTATAATATTGTTCTCTCTCATGCGTGTGTGCAAGTCTTATTCATATAAAAAAAAAAAGTTTGCTGTTTATTATACTCATTCTTATGAAGATACATAGAATTTACAAACTTTCAGACTTTTATATTGAGTTATCTTTTTCTGTTTTTGGCTTTTAAAACCTAAACACTTGTCCTACATATAGCAGTTTGATACAGTTTGAAATGCTTTCAGAAACATTAAACTCAAATTCTTATTTCAATTACCTGTTTTCTATTTTTAGTGCTTTTTAGTGTTATTCCATTCCTTTTATATTGTTTATAATTGCTTGATAACAATTCCTTCTAAGCATTGTTTTATCACTGTGTGCAATATATAGGATCTTCATAATATTCTTGTATTTTTATATTTTCATAGTTTTAGTCTATTTCAGAAGAATAGCCTTTTTTCCTTTAGGACTTCATATATGATGATTTTCTAAGCATAGCTTAGATCTGGCACAAGGCTGAAAGTATGGGGTACCCAGGGAAGATCAAACTCACTGCTCAGTCATAATTGTTCTAGTGAGACAATCTTACTAATCATTACACCACATCAAGTTGCCTCTTGGGACTTTATGTATGTATTCCTTGGGACTTTTGTTTTGCAAATGTTGAACACATAGGTTAACTTCATATTTTAGTTTGCCATGCAAAGATTTTATCTTGTTGCACATTTGAAAACTTTTCACAGTAAATTCTTTTGGTTACCATTTTTTCTTTACTGGTCTATCGTAATGATGAGCTGTATTTTCTTTTTGTATTGAGTCAGCAACTTACAATTTCTTTATTAGTTAGATTTATTTTTTTATGTCTTAATGAAGTTAGCATCCATTATTCTAGGTCACAAGGTGAGGCTTCTGAAAGATTTGTTGTTGTCTTCAGCTGTTTCATTCATGATAACTAATTATGATAGCTGCTTCTTGCTTTTTAACAAACATAATAAAGAACTAAAACTAGTTTATTGATATTATTGCACAAAAATTGATTAATGATGAGCAATTTTTGCCTGGCTTTTCTTGGCTTTTTTGTTTAATTTCACTTATAATTGGTGTCAGTTTTTAATGCTTGTAGGTTGATATTTATTTATTTTTTATGAAAGTATTATCAATGAGTTACATCTAATTAAAAAAATGTACACTTTTGGTTGGTGACTTAAATGAATAGCACTAGTATTTAACTTGTGATTTGATTACTAGAAAGCAAGAATCTCTAGGAGAGTCTATGAAAATAATTGTAATACTTTGTATTTCATATAATAATATTGCATATTATTAGATATCTTGCTGTAACAACTTCCTAAATAGCTGTGAAATTGTAGCATAAGGAAAACATTTATTACTGGAAACATGTTTGGTTTTAAGTAAAAAAAGGAAAAAAAAAAAACTAAATATGAAAGCTTATATTTATTTTACTTGATGCTACTGAATTAAAATATAGTAAAAACCAAAACCTCTTATATAGATTTAAAGTTCATTTCTTTGTATTATTTGTTGATATATTTTATCCACAAATGTTTACAACTACAAAAAATAGTGTTGTATTTATGGGTATTTTTATTGAACATTTATATTTTAACTTAATATTTTTAAGACTTGACTGTGTCTTTTCAGAATGTTGCTTTAAAGCAGTGTTTCCTAACCTTTTTCAACCAGTGCCCCTTTTAGTCACAAACTTCTGTGTCAATGCACCTTCCCCCGCAAATTAAATTTAGAATATTATACAGACTTCATCTTTCATAGCAAAATAACACTTAGGTATTGGTGCAAAAATAATTTTAATATTGTTTTCATTTCTATTATAAATGCCAATGATTAAAAGGATAAAAAAACAAAAAGCAACTTTATTTGATAGCAACTCTCTCAATATTTTCCATGCAATGGTTGACTTAGGTGTTTACTGGTTAAAGCTCTTACTCTAGTTTCCATGCTGCTTTGAAGTAATCTTAGATCCTCTTGTTTTATAATTTGCAGTTGGTTTCTTTGTTTAGTAAGAAGCTATGTAATGTATTGAAACCACATTCAGCCATGTAGGCAGTTGGAAAAACAGCAAAGTAAAGTTTGATAGCTTCCTACAGCTATCTAAAGAAATTTCCTTTTGTAGCCAATATTGAATAATTTTTGAAAATTTGAAAAAAAAAAAAAAAAAATTGATAAATGTCCATCGACCTACTGAGTATGAT